CGATGAAACTGGCGATGTGACAGATATTTTTTCTGATATGAAAAATGTCTGTCAATTTCGGAGTGGATCACTTGACTTACATCTATTGTCTAAGCTCTTCATTCGCAGCATCTTTTGTATCATTCATCATCGTTCATGCTTAACCATTTCGATATAGCCTATGCCCATAAAAAACTCATTAAAAACGAAGAAAATTGTACTTTTATGTATGGGTACGAATAAAAATCTTTTTTCGAATGGTTTATGCAAATCTGATTATTTGAATGAAAAATATTTTTGAATCAAATAATCGTGAAAGGAAAACGATTAGTGAAATCTTGTCGTTTCGAGCATTTATGCGATATTAAAGAGGATTTATATAAATATCATCTATAGCCTTTAGCATCCCGTAATAAATCATTTCAACGTGATAAAATTCGCATAGGGTCCATAAAATTTCATTTCGAATTTCTCAATTTACACCTAAAATATAGAATATTTCTCTAAAATTTAGTTCAAAAACAAACTATTTACGCCGTCAAACTGGAATATTTTTATCGAAATAAACACGAGCGCGGATCTTTTATTTGAAATAAACTTCATCTAATAATATCAAATAGCTTCAAGAGTTTTCGTTGAGAAAGATGACAATTATCAATTTAAAATTTTCTTCGATTTCGAATATTGTAAAACGATATTTTTTTGAATAAAAACTTCTATCGAAATTATAACAGAAATATATCTCTAAGCTCATCTATTTATGCTCATTTGAGCTAAATTATCCTGTTATAATTTACTTAATTGTATAAATAAATTAATTAATTAAATGCATTCATGTTTTTCTAATTAAAAGTAAAGAAAGTAATGCAGTATATTCAGGATATATCTGAATAACATCCAAATTTCTCGCTTCTCCCTTTCTCTTTACCTTTCAATCCTCTCTTCTTCTCATGGAACTAAATACGAATTTCAAAATAAAGTAAATTTCATCAATTAAATTTTAATGAAACTTTCTTTTCTAAATTTCAAGAAACTTGAAAATAATAGTTTTAAAACAGCGTTTTTCGCCGCAAAAAATATATGAAACATTTATTTATTAACAAAGTAAAATATTTTAAAGTAAAGTTTAAACTTCAAACTTAATTTAAAATCTATCCACTAGAGAAGCAAATCGCGCACTTTCTGGTAATAATTTGAAATAACATTAAAAATAAAAGAATAACTTGTATCTACGAGGCTGCGCTTAAACCATCGGAAAAAGAATTCTGAAATCTAATTTGGTAAATAAGATACAATTTCACGTCAAACTCTATTGGAAACCAAACTGAGATAGATTGAATAATGGTATAAACTATAAATATTATCAGTATTAAATATTCCCTTGCTTATTCGGAAGGTAATTGCTCCAGAAGAGTTTACTTCTTTAGTAATAGACTTAACGTAGAAAAAGTAAAATACTAATTTAACAAGTTAATTGGTAAATGAGAATACAAAAGTATTAATAATATGCTTGAGTGCTTTTACAAACACAACCCAATGTGGAATATGAGCATTTGTCGTGTGCACAATACCGTGAAAATCATCTTTAAGCACAACAACTAGCAGTAAGAACTTTTTTAACTGCGACACAAAAAGATAATTATAAGGAATGTTCGCTCAAGATCACTTTTTCACTCGGGATCGACTCTACATAGTACATTGTCATTCCATGATGAAATTTCATGTACAATTGATTTAAATTCATAAATTTCTAACAGAAGTATTCGTTAAATTCTACATATACACGCAAACGTACAACTATTTTAAATAGTACTGTACTTCTTTAAACATTTTTTAAAATAGACACTAATAAAAGAAAAATTGATTTTATATTATCTTAATATAATAATACATTTATAAAAGTTCATAAAACTAGATAAGTTTTTTTTTTACAGAAGTTTCTTATTAAATAAAAATTTAATTCAATAATTTCTTTCGGAAAAAGGATTATATTTCTACTTGGTTTTGTTTATTTTTTAACATCAAAACTAAAATACAGCAAGAGTTATGCTCGATTTATGTAACAAAAACGATGTTATTGCTTTTATAATAATTAATATTCATTAAACTGCTTCATTATAAATTGGACGAATTCAAGATTTAACGTAAAACCATTATAATAATACTACTAAAATATAATTCTTTAAAATAAAACAAAATTTACAAATACGTTTGCATTGAGTGATTAAAATATATTTTTTTAAAATATTTAGATAGCAATTAAATTCCACAGTAATAAACTAGGTTTTGGAAAAACTAACAGCATAAATTTTCCTTTTACAGAATATATATAATTAATAAAATTTAAACTTGTAAAGTAAAATTCATTTTAATTATAGTAAATCAATCTAAATAAAATTAAGATTAACATAAATGACTTAATAAATAATGCAAATTAAATTATAATTAACGCAGTAATGGATAAATAAGTACGACTCATTTGTAAGAAAACGTTTCTAAGAATAAATATAAATGAATATGAATGTAAAGAAGTGGAAAAGTTTGAAAACAACACTAGGTTCAATTCATACTGTGTAGAATAAGTTGATTATTAAGTCATTTCAAGTGGTCTCTCCTTTATTAACGGAATTATACATCAACAGAATGGAGATAATTCTTAAATTGCCTATTTTTTAAGTTTAATCATAATTACTTTTTCTTTCTTTTTTGGAAGGAGCTATTCTAGACTTATTTTTAATGTAATGAGCCCTTTATAAACATATCTAATTAAAGCAATATGGTTGTAAATTAAAGTTACATACGAGTATACGAGACAGATATATGCTGCTGTAGGCTGTTTCATCGCCTCTTCACATTTAAACATAACTTTATCTTGCGATGTCATCAGAATAATTTACATTAAACCTACATATTGTAATATTGTCTAATCAAATATAAATGAATTTATTCTTTAACTTTTAACATTAATTACAACGCTTTAGTTAACGGACAACGAGTTTACCCATCGAGGCTTTAAATCGAATTGATAATTAAAGTGAAATCGTAAGCAATACAAAAATCTGTATAATACATTTCTCCATTTTGCAACCACCTAAGATTGTAGACAAAAATAAACACCTAATATTTAACAAATTAAATTTAGAGTAATTAGAATATAAACTGGCGAGAAAATATTACACTACAATTGTTTTTAAAGTGCTCTTAATAATAACTGTAAGGAGCTAAATCCAACAAAATACAAATTCGGTCAAACCTATGAGCAACGGCCACTGATAAGAACATAAAAATAACTATCGTTCGAAGGTTATTTTGTATGCATTTCAAAAAGAAACTTTCCTGGAAAAAAAAAATGGTGCCACTTACAGTTGCTCGTTGTTGGGTGGTAGTGTTATAGAAGCTCGACAGTATTTAAAATTAGTCAAGTTTTAAAAATTACGAAGCATTTCTAATAATTTTGGCATTAAAAATATATTAAATAAGTATCCTCATCAGGAAGTGTTATATCAATGTAATATGAATAAAGAAAAGCTATTTTAAGAATTTTTTTTTGTAATTTTTATGATTAATAATTTTGCGAGTGTTCTTATTATAAATTAAATTTTTCCTTACATCAATAGCGAGAAAATATTTAACTTTTTAAAATGAATTGAAAATTTTATTTATAATATATATTTAAAATTTATTTTCAATTCATTTTAAATATACTATATAAACAGTACATTAACATACTCTATAGTATTAAGAATCAAAACCGTTTCGATTCATTGCTTTTAATAAAGTAGATTATTCAATGAAATCAGCGATAAGCTTTTACATTTTATTAAAAACATTGAATCTCAAAAATTTATTTATATATATATTTAGCCTTTCTGATAAAAGCATTGTATTATTTCATTATTTTAAATTTTTGAAACACAAGGGAAATAATTTTAAAATATGTTATTGATTTTTTGCTTCGAAAATAATATATTTGTTTTACTATCGTGATTAAGTTCACGCTGGCTATAACAAATATTTGTTAATAAATTTTATAAACATGAATATAAAAAAGAACAAGAATTACCTTAATTACATTTTCATATTTTAAGAAATGAAATTAAAAAAAAAGAAGAGAATTTAAATAAAATTAATGAAACTTTCTGCTTCAAATTTAAAAAGTTTTTGAGAAATTTTGATATTGTTTAAACAGTTGATTTAACAATTTAAAACATTTTATCGGATAGTAAATTCATTTTTGGTCATTAATTTCTTCAAAAATCGTAAACCGTGTCGTAAAATCAAGTAATATTAAAATATATAAAACGTCGCAAAATTCAATCTAAATCAATTTGTTGTTAAATTGATAATATCAATTATTTTTTGACATTAAAATTTGTATGCTGCTAAACAGATTAAATTTTTTTAATTAAAAAATAATCTGTTTCAATAATTACGTTTTCAAATGTTTTTATTTAAATTATAAATTTCAAAAATTGAATAATATGAATACGTAATTATTGCGAGTGAGATAACTGCCTTTGAAAAAACTTTAACCGTTAATATATTTTAAAATTGAATGTATTATTTATCGATAATAGAGGTTTGAAAATAGGAAATACTTTAAACGAAAAACTCAATTTAAACCTAGGCAAACTTAGTGGCTTTTGGTTCATTTTATTCATACAGCAATTCTGCAAAGGCAAATTACAAACTTTCGTTTCTGGTATAGAATATGGAGAAAACGACTGGGACGATAGCATCGATCAATAATACGACGACAGCATTAGAGATAATATTAAGCAGGAAGCCGCCAAACAGTCAAATTTGATGAAAACTCAGTTAGATGACTTCCACCTACCCGGAAGTGATTCAAGGATACTTCCATTTGTATGTAGTTACCAAGACAACGTGACTATGACATTTACCAATCAATTTCCACAAATTCTACCTTTACTAGTTTTATGCTGTTACCAGATCTTAACAGGGGCAATGAACCTAAAATTAGAATATTAAAACTAAATAAGTTATTAACTTTTTCTTACTCAAGTTGCTATTATTCGCTCGTTGTTGGCCGACTTGTCCTCTTAATGCTCTTAACCGACGAAGTTTTAGTTCTTGAGCTTCGACCTTTTCTCTCAAATGCCTTAATCGTTCGGTGTCGTTACTCTGTGGTCCTTGATGATGACGAGCCTCTTGTTGTTTCAGGAATTTCAGTCGTTGTTCCCTTGCCATTAGAAGCTGTTGTTGTGCTTCTATTTGTTGTTGTTGCCGAGCAGCCATTGTCCGGAGTTCTTCCAAAGTCAGATCTCCACTTCCTGTTAACTGAAAACAAACAAAATACAATTAGAAATCCATAAAAGTTATTTATAAAAATGCATAAATTAAAAAATGACGAATGGAAACTCTGTCATCTATTTAGACAAAAGAATATTTCAAGAATACAGATGTTCTTTATTGATCTCGTAATGATTTATGAATGCTGTCGGATAATGATAACCATTTTAATAACCATTATCTAATGTCTTATGAAAATGACAGGATGAAGTGGCGAAGTACTCGCATCAAATCTCATGCCACCAGTTCTATGCCAAGAGCAACTAAAATGTGACAGATACTTCAAAAATAATTTCTAATGCTTACTCAAATTAGGCTAATTATCAAACGCTTATTTATTCGACAATTTTGAACTATTATATCATTATTATTCAAATTTGTGATTTTCACAAAACTAAAGCCTGATCGTCGTGAGTATATTATAACAATGAATAATTGGATGTTATGTTCATATTCGATTCTGTTGAGAATTGAAAACTGAAAATGTTTTATTTTCTTTCGTGTTTATATTTTTAAATGGAAAAACTAAATTTTTTCATTAGAAATTACCACATAATTACACACCATATAGCGATCTGGGTTCGAATTCGATCCATGCTCGTAATATAGCAAATAATTCGGTTGGGTATATTTAATTATGGCAACACGACACGTGGGCCATCTGCCGAGGGAAAATGCTCCCCGGGAGGACTTTCTATGGGAAACTGGCGACTATTTAGGTGTTAATAATGCGAAGAAAACTCGGTAAACTCCACGTGGCCATCCCTTTGGCGAGGCCCGAACCCACAACCAAGTAACTACCGGTGTTCAGTGCTTTTATCCACTCGGCTTCACGAATGATTAGGACTAAAATTTTATTTTTCGTTCCTTATTCTTGTGATTCTCCACTATGAAGTGAGGACATATACAGTAAGGCTTAAGAGTCTAAAATTTAGTCAGGTGGCAAAACAAATTCGAGAAAAGTTGAACAAAAATAAATTCTATTAAAAAATATTTATTGTTTACATTTTAAATATGTTCAAATTAAATATAAAAAAATTCCTTTCTGTTGAATGATGTTTATCATTCAACATAAATTATCCATTAAAAAAGAATGAAACTTTTTAATACTTAATTTACATAACCTATATGTTTAGCAAGTAAAAATATAACATTACGATAAACAAAATTTGTAATGTAAACAGATATAGGGCCTATATATTATCCACCAAAAAGGAGGTCAACGATAAAAATATTTTAATATAGAAATAAAAATTCTAACAGTGATTGATTTCCAGCACAGTATTATTAAATACATTTTATAACGATTTTACAGTGTATAACACTTTTTAAAAGGTACGGAATTGGCATCGAAGATACTGACAACATATCTCGTATCGCGTTAATAAAATTAATATATCACACCGTAGTGTTTTTTATGAGTGACAAGAGTCCTGCCTACGTATCACGTGACACGGGAGGCCCGTCACATAGAAACAGCAGGTGGCATCGTGGGAACGAACAATCACCGGAAGTGTCGGCTGACCCACAGGTAGGTCATGGTAGGTCGCCCCACCTCCTCGTTAGTTGATTGACTCGAAAATTATCATTAAGCGGATTGGTTTCTATGATAACATCAGATAAATTCAAATAAGCAATCAGTGTTATCTAATGCACGAGCCAGTTAAAGTTGTAAAGTTTTGTTTGCGATAGTATACAAACGGCTCAATAAGATATCAAACAGAAAGCAAAATAATTTACACCCAAAAGATAACATCTGTCTGCTTCTGCTAAATATTATCATAAGAAAAAGAGCTAAATATTTTCTCTCTCTATAGTTTTCAGTTTATTTCAGATATATTCACACACAATTGTATATATCTAAAAGAGGGAAACATCTGAATTAAAATATAATTTTATTTTTATAAAAGACTACTCTTTGTAAGAAGTATTTTCTACAATTAATGTAAGAAATGAAACGGTTCATATTTTTCTATTTCCAATTGTTTGTAATTTAATTTTTCAACGTGACTTTCCATTCCAGCAATAAAACCAAACTGTTTGCTACAATAAATTCGAACAACACACGGTATTGAAGGAAAGAGCGAGGTGAAATTGGTCACCAACAAACATTCTCCTGATTCTCCACAAGAGATTTGATACTTAGTTATTATTAAACCCGAAATCTATCTGTCAGATGGCAGATAAAAACAAGATGAAATTAATCGAAAATACTTATATAAAAACGAAATAATCGACGTAAAGTAAAAAATCAAGTTTTAATTTCGTAAACATTATACATACGTATGTATATTACATATGTAAAACGCATTAAAACTAACGGATCAATATTTATATTCGCATAATTATCCAAATTAGTAAAAGGCATATTGCGATATAAAATTTTTACTACGAAAGTCATTTATTGCTTCATTATTTTGCATCTGTATGGGTTATATTATTCCAGAATTTACGTCCACATATCCATCAATATTTATGTGCAAATCTTATAAATATTAAAAGTGACCTGTTTGTGATACATTATTTTATCACCTCACTACACTGTATCTATTGATTAACCGTTAGGAAAGAGAAGTAAGGAAAGAAATTAACATTACTTTTTTTTTCTTTTTAATAACAAACGTTTTCGGTTTTTATACAGCCTTAATGCACCCGAAGCATATTAAAATGATTATTGCAGAATTGAATTGTGGTAAGCTTATCGTTGCTAAAATTATTACGTTCCATCGCACGTTTTGACATTTAATTAACGTGTTAAGTGATTGTAAATTGATTAAATCCTTTCCTGTAGTGCAATGATTTTCCAACAGGTATCCGCACTTATTGAATTTTCATTTTAAATAAAAGATATATATGTACGATGTTTTAATTTATATGACAAAACGTTTCACTCAAAAATTCAGAAATTTCGGTTAAGTTAAAAATTTAGATTACAGAAATTTTGGATGAGAAAAATGAAAAGAGAGAGAGAGAAAGGGAGGGAGAGAGCTAAAGAATTTTATAAAATTCGAAAAAAGTTTTGGAAGATGCTTAAGAACACAATAATGTTTCCCCCTCTCAGATCGAATTTAGTGAGGCGTAAATGAAGAGCGTATTCGGATCATGCGCAATGGAATACAATAACGGGTCATAAGGCTACATTGTTCAGTGGATGGATACGTCAAATGAACGGCAAATAACTAATTTAATTTGGTTGAGGACAGAGACTGACCTCTTACTGAAAAAAAATATAAGCCACTGAATTTATATTTCAAGCGTGAATAATAAATATTAAAAACAGAAAATAATATTTTGTACCGAACGAAAAACAAGTATCCAAAGTAGTATGAAGAATCAACCCTGTATAAAACATTCTTTTAAAAAATGTTTTATATTAACTTTTTATATTTTTTTAAAAAAATGTTCTGCATACAATACACAATTTACATTTAAAAAATATTTTTATAACAAACGTTAGATTAACACATTAACAGTTATTTAACATAAAATGATGTTTAATCGTGATTTGTCAAATAAATACAACTTTACAATAAATAAATTGATAAATTATAATAAAAACATTTAAATATATTAATAAAAATAAAAACAAAATGTCCAGTAAACGTTTAAAAGAGATTATAACACGTAAATATATAGATTTACACGCGTTTTATAATTTAATAAATAGAAACTTTTCGTTTTCCACAAATTATATAAAATTTAAACAAAGTATTCAATTTTTAAATATGCATTGTACGAACTAACAAGATTCGGATGTGCTTCCGGAATAGTTATTCAACATTAATATGTTAAATCCGGATTCATCAAATCAGTGCTAAGAGCATTTCAGTGGCGTGCACAACTCCCATAACAAGCAGGCAGGTAAGATCCCGTTAAGAACGGCACATCTACAGTTTCAATGAGGCTATTTACAGCCAATAGACAGCATAACTCTCCACTCAGCCTTAATTGTCTTTCAGTGGACTTCCTGATGCAGTAACATTTTCTCTATATTTCCCAATGGTAAAAAATGATGGATCATCCAATTCAAAATTATTAAAACTTAATACTGTAATTTGAACTCTCATAAATTAAGTACTTATGAAAACGCTAAATAAATTTTACTTATCTAATTAGCAATAAATTAGAAGTTGAATAATTATAATTATTTTATTCGCAAAACAAACAAAACCACTACTCTAATTACCGCGCTTATTTTACGGAATTTGCCGAGTATAAATTATTAGCATCTGGGAAAAATAAAACTTTTATTTACAAAAGTAAAAAAATAAAAAAATTGATTAACAATAAATAAAGTGCCATTAAAACTTCACTTGTGGAATTTCTTAATATCAACAAACTCGTTTTATAGTATTACTGACAGCGATGCGCTCTAATTCTTATACACTTCATACCTGACATTAATTTAAGTATTTTTACTGTTATTTAAATTACAATGTTACTATTGTTTAATAGTCCGATAAGCCACACCCCTTTCTAAACATAATATGCAACCACTTCAAGGTCAGTTGGCAGCTTTGGACAACAACGCCCCTGGATTAGTACAAATATCATCTTTGCAGGTTCCAAAGAGTTGAACGATACCGGCCACTCCCATTATAGCGGCTAAACAGTTGACACAAGCATTTATTTAGCCAATAGCACTTCTTTTTACAAACGAAATATTTTCCTGTCAAATTTCAATCGTTGTATGCTATGAAATATATTGTTACAAAGTATTAAAACACTAGTCAAAAAGTACACCTGTACTGTACATCGAATTGTATGTATACGGCGATCGTTCTTGTTTTATAATCGTTACCGTTACCCGTCGTTCGAGCGGATATTTTTAATTTGACCTAATCGAATGTGTTTTGCTATAGGGAATTTAAAGGGCTTACTTACCAACACCATACTTAATAGCTGCACCTGTCCTCTATCACCAAAATGGACGTGGCACGGCGTCGCACCATTTGCCGTCTCGGTGGCAGTCACGTGGTGCGGATGACGTCACGGACGGACGAGACCACTTCACCCCCGAAGGGTGGTCCTAAAAAGACGTGACGGAATGTAGGGTGTGCATTTTTAGAAAGGAGAAATTCTGCCGGTCCGTACCATTAAGCTAGAGGGAAGTAATGACTATTCAAAACGAATCTTCCGGATTTGATTGTTGAACTATTACTAGTATCGTTACCATAATATACGTACGAGAATTTCCAATGCTGTGACTCCAGCTTGCAGTTCATTACGGGCTTTACGATTGATAAATGATATATGTCTACTCATAAAGCAGATAGTTGCGGCAATTTAAATTACAGAAAACGTTGCATAAATTTCAATCAAATCGCTTATACGGTGATAAACAATTGTTTATTTTCAAAAGATATTCGGTTCTGCAACAAAGTAACGACACTAGCCAACACGAATAATTCTCTAAATGAATTTTTATTACCTTGTCTAATTATTATTCCCAGACTAATTAACTTTCTTTTGAATACGAAATCTTCAAAGGGGGAAGAAAAAAAAGAAAATGTATAATTGATCTTTTGTTTGCGAAATTATCAATTTCTTAAATTTGAATGCACTCAATAAATTCTAATAATTACTCTGTCTCAATTATAATTTTTAACATTTAAAACTAAGTAAAAGTATTTAAAAGATGAAATAGTTAATTAGCTTCAATTAATGTTATAATTATTTGGAAAATCATTAAATCGGATGGAGTAAAGTATTTGGGATATTTCTGGCAATAAACATTAATAGTAAAGATGTTGAACTGAAGCATCTTGATCGATCCAAATATATGATCGCTTTTAAAAAGAAGAATATCGATCTGACAAGAGAACTAAATAAATCTGATAGAGTTTGAAGAAGAGGATTTCTTATGGACAACTTGTACAGTACAATTGGAAACTTTTCCGAAGAAAATAGCCTAAGCATTCGAATTATTTTCTATTTAAAAGAAAAATAAAAACATATCGAATTGAAACGAAAGGCCGTAATTACTTTTTCTATCCATTGATTATTGTATTAGAAATAAATTTCCGCTCGAATTACAAAAATTTTCAAAACTAAAAGTTTTGAATTTCAATNGCTTTTTACGAAAAAGTATGTCACAAATACATGCTCGGATCGATGCCTTTTAATTAATATAGCTTTTTTAACTTTCCTCGCGGATTCCGTTAATTGAAAACTGATTTTTAATTGCATAAGATTTTCTTGAAGTGGAAATTTAATATCTTTTCTCATAACGAATTAACTGGAAAGCTGTGGAAAAAGTAACCGGCGGCAAAAAAAGGCTAACGATTTTCACAATAGTAAGAATTTTTAGCGGATGAATAATTCATTAAAAACTTACGAAAATATGATATATAGGCTAATCTAGTACTTTGGTATCGGCGGATAAGCATGCTAAATCAGGCTTAACTGAGGTTCTTAACATAAGACAGATTATCTCTCTGGGGAATGCCAACTCCTCTCTCACTAACTTCTCCAGTAACGAGATTAATATAACACTTCTGATATCGATAGTCTTATTCGACGAGCGGGGACCCCATTTGTAAGTCTCCGATGGAGAGAATAAGCAGCTGCTCTTATTTCAATAAGATGTCAGTCGACAGTATAAAAAAAGTAAATAATTTTACTTAAACACTCTCTTTAATGAAATAAACTGACTTAAGCATATTTCGGATTCTATCTAATAAACTGGAGAAATAGCTAATTTTCTTTAAATTTAACTTTAAATGAGTGAAAAGAAGAAATTCTATTTGCAATACTGTTTAAAATGTATATTTAAATAATAAAATTTTACTTTTATAGGCTCAATTAAAGCTTTTACTTTTCGATTTTATATTCGCTTTGCAAAAGCCGACTTACTTCCTAATAGTTAGATTATCGTCGGTTTACTTTTATCTTTCTTAGAGTTGAGGCATCTGGTTTTTAAGTGGATAAAAACTGACGCAATAGTTCTGCTTTGATATTTCTGTTTAAGTAGCTTAAATCTTTCTAACGTTTACGAAGATGTTCTAAAATGCCCGTTTTGCAGCAAAAGTTTCTAAATAATTTAATTCGTGCTTTAATTATAAAATTTGATTCGATCCTTTCATTTTCTCCTTTCTTTCATACAATTTGCGGAATCGAAATTCTAAAGATATACGGCATTGAGATATGGAGCAGAAAATTTTTCTCGGTTAAGCGATTTTATTCGAGAATTAAAGTAAAAATTTATAGCTTTTAATAAAAATTTCGGGTGTACACTGTCGCAAAAAGTAATTAATCTTTAAAATTTATTATCGGTATGTTTCAATCTATGTAAATTATTTCCATTTACACGATCGCAATTTCTGGATGCATGAACCCGAGTTTTAATCTGTATTTGTGCTAAAATTCTCTTTAATCACACCAAACAATTCGTAAGTTCGTCAAACAGATCTATCATTTTCACTAAACAAATGGAGAGGGAAGTATTATAATGAGCGTTACTTGGCAACGGAGTGTAATGAGAATAAACGGCATATTCTAATAGTAAAAGGTCTGTTCAAAGTGGTTAATACCAAGTAAAGGAATACCAAACTGACCTCCAGTGTAATCCACAGTAAGAGCTAATTTCCTATCTCGTTTAATTTAAATCCATTAACTTCTAAATGTAATCGATTCTAATCCATCAGCTTTCTATTTCTAGATCCTTATGATTACTTTAATATATAAGTTATATTATTGATTAAAAATGAAACTTTTTGAGAAGATATTTAAGATTGTAACTTTATCAACTCTACTATAAAATAATAAAATCATCTAATTAAATTTAATTTAGCTTTAGGAAAAAATATTTAAAACAAACAAAACTTATTTATATTATATTTTTAAATACTCAGATAAGAATTGTTCCTCTTACAGATGTATAAACGTATAAATTAATAAAAATTTCTTCTGGATTGTTCCATTTATAATTGAAATTTTTATTTATCTTTCGATCGAAGATATGTTTGTGTATTTTCCAAAACGTATATTTATATATTGAAATAAAAAAAATTTCTCTATATTATAAATAACCTAAGCTACAATTTTTATAATTTGTTTGGATACCTTTGTAAATTTTAAATTTTATTCGAAATATAAACAAACCTCTTTAAATTATCAAAACTTTAATTAAAAATGTCCAAATGTAAACTAATTTTAAAAAATCTTTTATGTATTTCTAAACAAATAAATCTTTCTGTTTTTTAAATTTATCTCAAAAGAAACTACAGCAAAAAAACTGCATAATTCTATAAATATATTATGCAAAATGTTCAGTTACAGGGTGAGAAAAATAAACAAATCATATATTTTACATTTACTTATGCAATATCGCCCACATTTACATTTTCTGAAAAAAAAAAAATCAATAAACTCTTTTACTTACTTTTTCTGCCCAATTTAACAATTCCCTCATATCTGGTTTATGTTGTGAAGAGCCCCCTAAAAATATTTTTAAAAATAAATTTACTTAAAATCTAAAGATATATATATATATACAATGAATAATTAATAAAAATAATATTTCATTATTGTTCTAAGCATTAATCATTATTAAGATATTATACTTATGAAATGTTTAAATTACAAAACTTGTTTATGTTCCAAAAATAGGCAATAGAAGAATATCAAAACAAGTATTTGATAATTAAAAATAAATTAATTTATTTAATTTTCAAATCTTGCAGAAATTAAATTTTTAATCTTAATGGTTTGGGCAATCGTCAGCAATGGGATAACGGATTATTTATATTTTTCCAGATAATATAATTATACGCAAACAATTTTATAATCATTCAATAATATAATAGGCCTATATAAAACTCGCTTCATACTATGTTTTAATGGTTTACAAAATAAGTAATGTAAAAAGATAGAAAAAAAACATAAGTTTATTACGAAATCTTCTAGTTTATTAATGATAGGATTTATTATTTATTACTCTATTCGCTTTTCCTATCGATGTTATCGATATTAAAGAATGGAAAATATACCTTAATTTTCTTCTAGTGGCACTAAAAATATCAAATTTACAACTAAAATATACAATTGACCTAGTAGAAAATTTCTCTAGTTAAAACCATTCAAAGTGGTCAATGGCCTGAATAACTATAACTTTTTTCCCTTTCTATTTTTTTCCCCCGAGATATTGCTGAATTTGATTGCATCATACACTAGTAAAAAAAATCGGGATTTTTTGGAATATTCTAAAATTCATATTGTTTAATGGGTTTTTATCTTAAATCAAATTGAAATGTGATTGATTATATTGGAAATTAACTGAATGAATAGGAATAGCCCTGGGATAAAGTTCAGAAACGAGTTTTGCTTCTTGGAATGTTGATACTTCCTAAAAAAGGTTCACCCATTCTTAAAAATTTTTATCTACATTTTATAACATTGTCTTAATAAGTAATCATAAAAATTGCATAATTTACGACCTTTTAAATATACAGTAACCGGTAATTAACATTTTAATCGTTAATCATACAAGCTAGAGATACAATTTAAATAAATGTATCGTAAAATCAGCTAAGTTATTCACGTATACGTTATTGTAAACAACTGATTCTCCCCCTTCTCAACTCTACCTCATAGTTCTTTCTTGAACTTGGTTCACATAGCGGTAATCCCGTCAGCAGACTACATCCATTTTTTGATTTTTCACCTCAAAAATTACTAACGTTACGTATGTAAATACATCCGAAACACAACAGGAATCGACTTAATCCACAGATATAAGGTGGTAATACAACAGACTGACAGAATGAACTTTAAAAGTGGTCAGCGTCCCCTATGATTCAAAGTTGTCAAACCGGTCGCTTATGCTACTTTGCGAGGCGACTTTAAAAATGCAAAGGGCCTTTTCCTCTTCCAATTAATGAATATTTCAATTGGTTCAGAACTTCTGAAATTCAAAATGTAATACATGTTTCGAAGAAAATTCAATTTCAAATTACCTATTCCAAACAAAAAGAAACATACAAATCAATACGATCTCCGTTTGCCCTTTCTGTCGATGCAACTTCTTTCCCGAATGCGGAAAGATTAAAAAAGAAAAATTCTTTTACTATTTTTTCCCCGAACTGAAATTTTAAAAATTAAATTTTCAGATGAAATATTGAATGACATCTGCGTTTTCCTGTTTTTTTTTTTTTTTTTTTTACGAGGAATATAAACATAACGCGAAACTTTGAAGTCTTTGTCATCCAAATACACTCGGAATAATTTAAATGTTGAAAATGTAGTAATGAAATAAACTATACCACGAATAAGAATAAAAATATGAGTATAAACTCGTAAAATATTTTATTTGATAATTTTTACGAAGAAATTACGTTAACAATGAAAGCAAAAGTATTTATGGACATATTTGATAAGAATTAGATTATAAAGCACTTAGCTTACATATTCGGCAGATTTATCGCATCCCATCTGATATGCAAACATCCGCAAGAAGATTCTCTATAATCTGATTATACAGTCAAGAGAAGCGTGTTTCTCGAAAGTTAAACAAGACAGCTAAAAAGTATTTTCGAAGTACTAAAGTAACCGAATAGAGAGGCATTATCAAGCAAAACTTCTCAAAATATATTTCCATTTACTCGTACTGGAACTTAATTCGAGAATACACAATAAATTTAAAATATGCCCCAATTTATTTAATGAAAGTTGATTTGATACTAATAAGATTTTCTCTTCGTTGCACGTAAGAGAAAAGAAATTTTGAAATACCAAAGACTTCCTCTAGTTTGAATACTTCAATGTGTCAACGTATGAGAGTAGGTCATATCGATTGTTAAGCGAAGGACATTTCTTATATTTTTTACATATAATAACCATAGAATAACCACTTCCTTCTTAAATAGATCATTGTTTTTTTGTCATTATCTTTTGTAATTCGAGAACGTCATTTGCGAAAGAGCAATTGAAACCCAATACAAAAGAAAATTCGAAAAAAAATTTCGAAAGAAGATAAAAATGAAGCAATAAAATAAGGTAGATACTCTATGGTAAAACACACGTTTAAATAAAATATATATCCTACTTTTTGAGATAAAAATTCTATAATATCTATATAAATCGAACGTCTACAAAGAAGAAAATATAACAATTTTAAGCAAACACTCTACGTTCAGATTGAAAATTCAAATATGAATTTCCATACAACGGACTTTTTTTTAAACCTCTTATAAGATTTATTTCGGTTTCAATCGATATTAGAATTTATTTCTCCATTTTAAGATTTAATATAATTGAAAATAAGTAATTAGGACCGTCCATTTCAATAAATCTATTAAGTTCATCTGACTCGGAAATTAAATTTGATTTGTAAAAAGTTAAATAATATAATTTTAAATTTACGGTCAAAGCTTTTAAAAAATTTAATAAAAGCTATTGATCGATAGAAAAGAATTAATTGCTCAAATTAAAGTAATTGGTACTTTTCTTTTATCGACAAGCTACTAACCAGCAATAACTATTGTTTGTGTCTATCATTTTTTCAAACAATAGCCATTTAAACCAACATAAATGCCAAATAATAAGCTTTTAATGCCAATATTTTTGTAATAAATCATAATTAAATGCTTCTTGAAAGAATCTAAAGTTTATTATATTGTTAAAACTAGAACTAAGTAAACAAATTACGAAAATCTCAATAAATAAATGTTTAATGTAAGCAAATAGTTTACGAATAGAAAATCATTACAATTACAATCCTTCAATAAGTAAATATATAAATAAAATCTATTAAAAGCCTTTAACATTTCATTTCATCTGACAATAGCCGAAAGAAACAATAAAGAAATCAAAGTTTTGTTCGATTCACTTTAACATACGCCGTATGTTACTTTCTTGTTACACGAGTAATCGAAGATTTTCAATGAATTCCAGTCTTGCACTACCTCTATTCTTTCAATTTCTAATAGTATTAACCACGTAGCTAACATTCTTTCTTTTTTAGAAACCATTAAATTCCTTAAGTTCTCCGAATATTAATCTTTCTAAATAAAATATTAGAAAATTCATTCTTTGTAAAATATCGCGTGCGTTTTAAGATTACCCAACTGATTCTGTTATTTATCTCTCATTTATGAGAACTTTGACACTAAATTCCTCGAAATAAAGTAGTAGCATGCTAATAACACTATTGTTTTAAAATAAAGTTTCCTCCCAATAAAAAAAAATTGTCTTTTCTATATTAAATAGCATGTTCAAAATGACGCATAATATTTCTGCAGCGATGTTATTAAAAACAACAGCAGGTGCTTTTATTTCCACTGTAGTTAACTACAGCATTTAAACATATTTTTTGAATTAAATATGAAATCTATCAATCATCGGTATCGATATAACAATTTCGCATGAAATTTCTTTCAAATCGCCGAAGAAAAGTTTGAACAGGAAAAGTTTTCTACGAATCAAAAACCAATCATGCACAATTACATGAATTAATCAAATTTTTTTAATTCAGTTTTTTATTATCATTAAAAATAAATTACGTTCGCATTCAAATAAAATCAAATATATAATAAAAAATAATGAATTTTTTTTTTCGTTTCTAAGTTCGCATGTAAAAGTGGAACAAACGCATTTAACTTTTGTTAATTTAATTTAATTCGGCGCTTATAATAATTAAATTGCATTTTGATTTAATTTCACTTTTGGATATCCGCAGCAAAACTGTGTTCATTATTTCGAATAATTAAATGTTTATTAAAGACTATCTTTCAATTCTGCGTGTCCTTTCTAAACGTGATAATGTAGGACAAAGTATTTCAACGCATTTTCTAAATTTAGCACAACATTTTGACACCGATTCAATAGTAGTAGACACGAAACTTTTATTAAGATCATAATTATTGTGAAGAGATTAACGAAAACTTAACTTTTATCACTATTAAAAGAATTTTCTAATAACGCAACTCTTTTTAAAAATTTGATAATTACTTTCTTTTCTTTAGCGTTTTCATTCGAAACATTTAAAAATAGTGATTAAAATATACAAAAAAAAAAAAAAAATGGAAGCATTTGATTGTGCCACTATCCACATCGACAAAAAAATCGAACACTCGATATCAGTGTATTTTTCCAATAATATATTCAACTTTTTATAATAAATTATCTACATTTTAATGTACTGTTTCTAACACAATCAAAGCATTTTAAAAAAATATATAAAGTTTAATTATAACCATTAACATAAATTATGAAATAAAACAAAATTTTATCATTAGTTTAATTTGTTAAAAGTTTTTATATCGGTTTATTTTAAGGATAAATTCTGAATACAAAGTTTTACAATGAATATTTATGCATCTGTAATAAGTTTTTTGATATTTATATGCATTTATAATGTATAAGCATTAT